AATATGGGTGGTTTTAGCCACTAAATGAATGTTAAACAGGTTATTTCCCAAGGCCATATTACAACTAGTACAGACAATACAAGCCTTTGCTCCAAGGCAGCCCCTGGTTATACCCATTTGAGTTACACTGCAGTGGAAGTAGGAAGATCTCTTTCCTAACAGATAAACCATGACAGCTATTTCCCATGTAGAAACTCTCACTCAGACAAGGTTACCTACAGGAACCAATAAATGCATACTGAACAGGCCTGAACACGCATCCTCTCTCTTCAGAGAAAAAGGTGCTAGCTCTGACAGGAGTAGTTCACTAATCATGAAAAAATGTAGGGCTCTGATAAACAAGTGATGTTTTAAATCTAAGTAACATTCTTTTTGGCTGTTTTCTGGACTGTAAGCTTTTACAATTTGTATCCTGTTGGTTAACAAAAAAACTTTCTGATAGGAGAGACTTATATTATCATAGTTCTAGGAGTTACAAGTCTTCAAAATAGTACAAAAATCTTCATCCCTGCTTGAACTGTAGAACTGCATGGACATACATCCCATGTGCTTCTCTAAATATACCTCAGTATCAAGACCAAAACACAATATCAAAATAATGACATAAGCAGAACATGAAGCATTATCAAACACCTTAGGTCACTAAGATACACAGAGATTTAGGGCCTGTACTAAAGTTTTCAGGAACATTTAAGCTATATAACTGTGTTACCATTGACACAGTACCTGTGGCACATTTGAGAAAAGACTCCAAGTGTTACTATTCCTATAGGAAATCTCGGTGTCATTTCCAAGTGTGTGGTGTAGTCACGTAGGTGTCAGTTGCAAAATGTGCAGGCAAGTCTTTGCTATCAAAAAGGGTTCCTTGCAAGTTCCTTAACTGTGTATTTTTGAATCTATAAACTAAGCGAAAAAAAAAAAAAAAAGAGCCATGATGCAGCACAAGAAAGTAGTTAGATAATGAAACAGGATCCACAACATCGCATCTCCCTAGAAAACAGTCAATTAATTTTACCTAATTTTCTATTCTCAATGCTGAAGAATTTGGAAAGTTTCTTCAAGGACAGAGTTATCTGAGTACATCCCAGCAGGCGTTCAACATCCAAGCTGACCAACAGTTTTTACTAGGAGGAAACTTTATAGTATACATCTACATGAAAAATGAGAAACTGCAATGCACCATAACTAGTAGCTCTAGACTCCTTCACCCTTAAAAGGGGCATACATGTATGGTATGTTCAAACCCGGTGACAGAACACTTCATTCACATTGGGAATTATTACTCATTTAACCTTGTTTACACTTTCATAAGCTGTATGGAAAACTAAGAAGACATCTGAGAAACAAAACTCACACAAGTATCACACTACCTATGACAACTGCCAGTTGGGAACTACTCCACCAAGTTGATCCCTGGAACAAAATGTTCCAGAAAGAGAGAGCAGCAATACATACCTTTGAATATAGTTTTGAAAGTTATAAATAAATTAACAACCTTTTAGTCACATGGCAACTTGTTTATACAAATGCATTAATCTTTCTTGCAATCATGTGTCTACTCCAGAATAAAAATAATTTTAAGGTGATTTACTAGCATGTAGTACAAAGAATAAGCACAAGAGTAGTACAAAAATAAAAAAAACAAAACACCCTGCTGCTTTCCAGCAAAGACGCTCCTGAACAAGAACAGAACTAAAGACACTTATGAAGAGGAATCCGTAACAATTTAAGAAACTGTCAGAATTTATGTGGAGGATTCAGCCAAGTTACATGTTGCTTCAGAATAACCCTGTCAGCATCCTAATAAGACCTGAAATTTCAAGAGGACTAAAGATCCCCAAGGGTGAAACTACGTATGTCTAAATACAGATCATTTGTACATATGCCTTTTCTTCTGATGTTGTTGAATACATGCCATTTAGACATCCAAAGCAATTCCTAACACATCACAGAAATAGAAAGCTTTAGCCATCAACTATTAGAAGTACCCCTATGATTTATTTCAGGTTATTAATATATTTGAAACCTTTAGGTTTTAAGTAGCTACCCTCACTAAAATGGGAGTTCCACTATGGACAAAAGGAAGTGATTTGCCCTTTTTCCATCTAAGGCTTTATCCTAAGCAAGAGCTTGCTCTGTTATTGTAGAAAGCCACAGATAAGGTAACAAGAAATCCATAACCACTCAGAAAATAAAATACTAATAATATAGTATTTCAATAACCAAATACATTTAAGCACATGACAGACAAAGGTTTCTGAACACTAAGCTAGAAGGCGTATCAAATTACCTTAGCTTCCTAAAGTGCCATCATGGATATGAACAGTAACTTAGCTACTGGCACTGAAATTCAGATGATGGTCCTATTACACAAACTGCAATTCCAAACTACTAAGTGGACAAACTCCCCCCTGATCCATGAATCTAGAAATAAGTTAATGCTCCCACATAGCAGCAAAAAGTCTGTGAACTGATGATCAAACTAGTTTCAGGAACCAAACCAGATCCTCTTTAAGTTCTTGATGTTACTTCACAGCAGTAAAACAGAGGGGCCATGA